GAGGGATAAAAGCAGACACCTAACATCATCTGATGACAAGCTCAAACCTCAGCATTCATACAGGCAAGCACACACACACACACACACAAACACATGTACACGCATGTGTGCACATATACACATGCATGCACACATATATTACACACGAACATACATATATTGCACATACGCACACACATGCACATACACATCAAACACATGCAAATATACATTACACACAGATCACACATACGTACATATGCACACACATACAAATCACACATGCACACACATCACACACACAAACACACATATACATACACACATGTACAAGCACACACATATAGAAATATAGGAGGAGGCCACTTGTTTGTTCCCTGGTACTTTGCCCCCAAAATAATCACACAGAAAACTATTATTTAAATTACTGCTTGACACATTAGCTCTAGCCTCTTATTGGCTAATTCTTACGTACTAATTTAACCCATTTTTATTAATCTATGTATTGCAACACTGCTGTGGATTACTGGATAAAGTTCCATCTGACTCCGGCAGGGCTACATGGTTTCTCTCTGACCCCATCCTTCTTTCTCCCAGCAATCAGTTCTGTCTTCCCTGCCTGCCTAAATTCTGCCCTGCTATAGGTCCAAAGCAGTTTCTTTATTCCTTAATGGTAATTACAGCATACAGAAGGAAATCCCACATCATAGAAACAAGTAAAAATAAAAATTATTTTTAAAGTTTTCAGAAAGTTTTCCCTGCGCTCCATTCCAAGTATCAGACAAGATAAGAAACAAAGCTTATGTTCCTTCCCCTTACTATACGCCACTCCCAATCCCCTTTTCCCCCTATGTCCTTCTCCTTTTCCCTTTTCCCCCTCAAAACTCTGCAAAAGTGAATTCCAGGAGCAAGCCAATATCTGTGAAGACAATCTAGCCACCTAATTTACATTTCAAGTGCACCAATGGGAATTTCTGTTTCCACACTAGTAGCAGCCGTGTGGCTGATCTTCTCTGATGACATATGCACCAGAAGGCAGAGGATTTGTTGTCAGCATCACCGCACTAAAAGATTGGGGGTGTTCGCCTAAACTCAGTGAACTTGTCATATCAACTGCCACTGAGCAGGAGCTACAGATCAGTTTCTAACCTGCCTCTTGGAGGGTGGTCTGTCAGACCTGTTGAAGGAGATAGAATAGTCAATAACCGTAAAATAAAAAGTGCTACATTCTGAAGAATACCTCGCTTTATACTGCGAGCAGTCAGGGAAATACAGACAAGTGACGGATGTCTCCCGCATCCACACAACCCCAACCAATCATTCCCTCCTTTGTCAAAAGCTGCATGTGGCAAGTGTGAAGACAAGAGACAGTCCAATGCTCTGTAGAAGGTTCAGATGCATGTGGTACTTGATAGTAAATAACAGCAGAAACCATACACATGGGTCTTAAAAGACTGAGCGAGACATGGTCATCAAGACAAAAAGGTGAATTGGCTTCTGCTGACTGGCACTAGGGAGGACTTTTTGAGAAGCTACGTATTTCTATTAAATTTAATTATTTTACATCTGTACCACAGTTTCTCCTCTCTCTTTTTCTCTCATCACTTCACCCCCATTTCCTCTCAGCCCCTCCCCAATTTATTCCTCCCTTCTCTGTTTCTGTTCAGAAATGAGCCGGCCTCCCATTTGTATCAACAAAAGAAGGCATTTCAAGTTTTGGTAGGATTAAACACCTCCCCTTGTGTTAAGGCTGAGCAAAGCAATCCATAACGAAGAAGAGGTTCCCAAAAGTCAGCCCTTGTGTTAGGGACAGCTCTTGCTCCCACTGTTAGGAGTCTTACATGTAGACCAAGCACTACACAACTGTCACATATATGTAGAGGACCTAGGTTGGTTGCATGCAGGCTCCTTGTTTGATGGTTTAGACTCTACGAAATCCTGTGAGGCCAAGATAGTTGTTTCTGTGAGTTTTCTTGTAATGTTCTTGAATACTCTGGCTCCTAAAAATCATCATCATTCTCTTCAGCAAGATTCCCTGAGCTCAGCCTAATTTTGACTGTGGATTTCTGTATTTTTTCCTTTAGTCATAAATAGAAAAACTGAATGAAGACTCTCTGATGAACACTGGGGTAGTCACCAATCTATGAGTATAACAGAATATCATTAGGATTATTAAGTTGACTTTTTTTTTCTCCAGTTGTGTTTGATTCTATCCTAAGAATCTGGGATCTATTTGATGTAAGCTTTAACATCTAAGTGGGATCTGGCAATGGGAGATATGTCAGTGGATAAAGCATTTAATGGGCAAGCAGAAGGGTCCATGTTTGGATTCCCACATAATAGTCGGGCACATGTGGCAGTCTCCTACAATTCTAGGAGGCAAAGTCAGGGAATCACCAGTGCTAGCCTGACTAGTGGGAGATCCTCAAACTCAATAAATAAAGTGGAGAGCTACCGAAGAATACACAAATCTTTATATCCCCAAATCATGGGCACAAATGTACACGCACGCACACACACACACACACACACACACACACACACACACACACACACACAGCTGCACGCACATAAGTAAGTCTTTATATACACATATCCATGCACACCACATATGCAGGTACAAAAAAAGAATAAAAAATATGTATAATTTTAAAAAGAGCTTAATTTGAAAGCCATGGCCTTATGACACAGCTTCTGAGCTTAGATAAAGCTTTGGCAATGAGGAGGGAACCAACAATATGCAGCAATGCTGTGAAACTGAGCATTAGAGCAGTATAGGATTGAAGGATAGGAGCAAGCAGTTGAAGGCACTGGGAGCAAGTGAGCAACCATCAGATCATCTGTCCTTGGTGAAGGCAAGAAAAAAGGGAACTAGGTAGGTTAGACATCTCAGGAAAGAACAGCCAGCATATGTTGGTGTGAAAAAGCAAAGTTATCCACAAAGCAGAGTTTAGGACCGAGTGATTGGGTTGTACTCGAGGAATAAACAAGGTATTAGATGCTGAATGACAAACAAGCTTAACTTAGGGGGAGAGGGAGAAAACAGAGCTAATAAGTTCTAGTTTGAACACACTTAACTGATGTACCCAGACTGGTCTATCAAACTGAAATGGGGTGGGGATGAGTATTACCCTCCCCTCCAATATAAAGTTTCCTAGTTGATGGAAAGTCCTGCATCTCAGAGCAACACCAAAGACATGGATCTAGCAAAGAGCTGAGAAACTGCAAGAAAATTGTCAGGGGCAGATGACAAGAGAAGAAATTGCTCTTACCTTGAAGGGACAAGTGAAGACAGCAAAAGATAAAGGAACACATGCAAACAGAGCCCTCTCAAAAAGTATTCTGAATTTCCTTTCCTGGATACCCTTCAAAGCAAAGAAGAATGGCCTCCTTGTCTTTATTTTTCTTTAAATTTTTATTTCATTGGTTTGTTTTTAGTGTGTGCCCATAAAAATCATGTACAGGACAAAAAACAATGTGCAAGTGTTTGTTCTTTTCTTCCACCATGTGATTCCTAAGGATTAAACCCAGGTCATCAGACTTGGTAACAATCACTTTTACATGCTGAACCATATGGAAGGCCCTTCCTTGTCTTTGTTAAAGTCCTGATTTGGATGGGGTAAAATGAGGGAAGTGAAACACAGAACGTCTAGAGAGTCTGGCCCACTCATAGACTATATGTATAAGTTATGAGAAGACAGAGCTACCCAAGAAATCTAATTTCAATTGTAAAATGGGATGATGATAATGCTGATGATGTGGTGGTGATGGCGAAAGGAATGATGGCGGTGATAGTGATATGGAATAATGGGAATAATAATGATAGTGATGATGGTGATAATAAGGATGGTGGTGATGGTAACGATGGAGATGATAGTGGTGACGGTGAGAATGATGGCATGATTGATGGCGGTGAGGATGATAGAGATGATAACGGTGATGTGTATGATGGTGCTGATGATGGTGATGAGGGAGATGATGACGTAAACCATTAGTACATATTTGGGATAAGGAAGACTTGTTAAATAAGAGCATATATGGCCTTGTATCTCTCAAATATTTACATTCCAATGCCAAATACCATATAAAGAACCCCATATAAAGAACTTAAAATTTTTAAGAAACTACAGCTACAGTTGGGGAGGGTCAGAAAATAAGAGTGGTAGATAATAAACTAATCAACCAGATGAATCATTTTAAATGCCTAGGAAGCCTCATTAGCCCAAGAGGGAAAGAAACCTGAAACTAAGAGATTAAAATTTATTGCAATAAAGAAGCACATTAAAGAAGATTTATAACAGTGTCCCAAAGCTGATTATAAAATTTGGCAGAGTAACTTGGCTTCAGAAATTGGAAGCTAAAGAAACAACATGGTAGTCAGTGTTATGCGGAAACTGCCCTTTGTTCTCAAGGCTTAGAAAAGAAAATTTTCACACACACACAAAAAATGTACACGCAGACATTATCCGTAGTGATCAATGATCAGAATTTACTTTTGAAAGAAAAATAAATGTTAAAATACGGTCTAGGAGGATGTTCAGTGGATAAAATGGCTGTTGTGCAAGGATGAGAAACTGAGTTCAAATCCTAATACTCATATGAAGTCAGGTACATCAGGTATTATAATCACTAGTGCTAGCTGTGTGCGGGTGGAAAGAAAGGAATCTGAAGCTTATTAGCTTGCCAGTCTGGCTGTACTGACGATCTCCGGCTGGACTGAGAGATCCCGTCTCAAAAAACTAAGGTGGAAATTGAAGATGACAGCTGAAGTTGACCTCTCTTCTCCACACACTCACACGTGTGCGAGCGCGTGCGCACACACACACACACAAATAAGAATGTATACTATACACACGAGTCCTCATGTGCACATGCTCACATACATGCACATTAAAAAAGAAAAAATATATGAAGAGAATTAAGAAAGCCCCAAACTTCAATTAAATAATCAGTAAGACAGAAATCAGTAGAAATTGTTAGAGAAAAAAAAATACTGGGAAGGAAAGGAGTGGAGCACTTACCTAGAATGTCCTGTGAATGAAAGCTCCTTAAGGGATCTGTACTTTCCACTGACCCTTCTGCAAAGCTAACAGATTCTAACTCCGATGACTGTGGAGAGAAATGTTGGAAGTTCAGAGCTGAATTTTGTTGTAGCATGTTTAGCCCCAGTAATAGCCTTTAAATGATCTTATTGGTATCTGACCTGACAACTGTGTGTCTGGGGGATAAATTACTAGTTTCCCAGCAAAGAGCCAAGAATACTATCAGCTAGTATTGGAGGCCTCTAACACGCATCTCAGCTTTAACCCTCTGACCTAATGTTTCTACCACTGTATTTGAAAAGTGCCTTGATTTATGATTTTATTATTCTATTACTATAAAAACTTCATGAAACTGCCTCCACACTGGAACAAGGAATTTAAAACGACCTAAATCTGTGTTCTCCAGCCATCATCACTTATATTTGGCTCCAGAATAAATTCACTTATCCCCTTTGAAATGAGAGATGTGTGTTTTCTTAATCCATTGGTACAAGATGTTGAGCTCAATACTAAACACTGAAGCAAAACAAACAAGAATAGCCAAAGAGAAGAAAAAATAAAATAAAGGACCTTGGAATGCAAGTTTCTCCAAATCAAAAGAGTCATGCCAATGGAATGCTCTCCTCCAACCGAGAGACCCACTGGCACTCATTCTTTGAGTAGTTGGATCATTTAGAAAGTCTTGATTTTTCCAGCAATGGAAAACAGAATGGTTTGTGGGGAAATCATAAATGCCTTACAGTCTACACCAAGAAACTCTAAGACTAACAGTATATTTAAATTCTACATCAAACCATGATGCACTGACCTCCACACAAAACCTGCTATTCCCTTTGCCTCCAGGCTAAGCTCTGCTTTCCTCTTTATGCAATTTCTTTTTCATTTGCCCTCCACCCTTCTCAAAGTAGTTGCCACAGGTTCAGACCTTAACTCCCAGCCTCCCACAGTGGTCAAAGGGGCCGTGGGTTTGATGCTCACAGGCTAGACTTTGGTCATCTGTCTATTGAAAGACAATTCCCACGAGAGAAAACAATAAATTGGGTGTATAGGGAAGTAGGGAGGATCTGAAAAGTATTTGGGACAATATGGTAGAAAATGGAATGCATTAACAAATTTTAAAAGAAAATAAGCCTTCCCTAAAGTAACAACTGAATTCTGAAAACACTACCTTTTGTCTTACTTAAGCTTCTTGTTATTAACATTTTCATTAATTTTACTTGGCTTTGATCAATGAAAATGTTACATACACAATGGAGATAAGTCATTGGATAATTTCTATCCATTCTCTGTCCAGTTAAAATAATTATGCTTTTCTGTAGATGAACTGTTATTAAGAAGACAGTAGCGTTAGCCATATTTAGGGCTGTAAAAATGTTCTGTCCATTAAGCCTATGGGATTCTGTGAGGTCTAGTATATCAGCAGCTCTCTATGAGTTGCTCTGGTCACTTCCTAAGCCTCTATACTGCCTGCATTTACCACACTTGTACATCAGGAAGCAAGGTCTACACATATCCATCCCAATCTACTCAATTTCAGTGCGGCTGATATTGTTTAGAATATCAAGTCATTCAACACAGCCCAGAAGAAATGGCTATGAGCACTGCGAAGGTTCTTTGGTACACTTAGTAAAGCAAGGCACATTCTGTTATGAAAGACAATAGATTGTGAGTCTCAGACAGAAAAAAGGTGTCTGCAGTGCACCTGCTGAGGCATCTCTACACACCAACATATGCTGTCTTTCAGTGCAATCTGTAAGGAAAAGTTGCATATTGCTTCTACACTGTATTTTCACAGAGTCTAATTGCAAGTTGGAATCCAGATGGAAGTAAGGCTAACTTTCAGTGCAGAGGGATGAAAGACACTCATCTTCACAGAGGTGGGTGGGGGGCAAATACTATGTCATCTCCCAAGTTGTATCAGTTTTCTTCAGAGAGAGTGCAGAGAGATTCTACACACAGGGCCTGGTCCCTAACCAGGAAGGTAAACACCAGAAAGGGACACATGTTCTTAGTTTGATCCCATGTTCCCACCCTTCTTCTTCCTGTACTACCCCCTGCCTTGTGGAAAAAAAATCTCTAGATACAAAATAACTAAGAGAGAGAACATAGGTAGAAACTCCCTTCACAGACTGCTGGGTCTGATGTATTAGAAACTGGTTTAAAACATAAAAGAATGTTAACAGAAATCTAAGTTAAAACAAAGGGCAACAAAAGCCAGAAGGAGTGGAACATGTCTGTAATCCTGGCACTCTAGATATGTAGGCGTGAGGGGGAGGAATTCAAGGTCACTCAGCTACATAGAGAGATCCAGAGGTCAAGGAAAGCCTGTGCTTAAGATGACTCTGTCTGAAAGGAAATGTAAATGTAATATAAAAGAAAAGAAAAAATAAACAACCCCCAGTGGCAGTGACAGCAACAAAGCACTCTTAGCTATACTCATTCTGTGATCAAACGCAAAATGAATTCCAATTTTTAAATCACTAGTAAAATTCTTGCAAGAGAAATTAAGTAAAGCATTAAATACGGATGAAAAACAGATGTTGCCCCTGTAGTAGCTAAATTAGGTTTTTGCTAGTTTCTGTAAGCAAGGTGTTATTTAGGACTCTGTCTTATTTAACTTTCTATTTCTGTGAAGAGACACCATGAACATGACAACTTTTCAAAGAAAAACATCACATAACTGAAATGGTGGCTTACGGTTTCAGAGATTCAGTCCATTATCATCATGGCGGGGAGCATGGGGACATGGTGCTGGAGGAGCTGCTACATGTTGATTTGCAGGCAACACTGTCTTTCTGGGATAGCTTGACCACATATGAGACCTCAAAGCCTACCTCGACAGAGTCACATTTGCTACAAGAACATACCATACAAGAACATCTCCAACAATGCCATACCCCCTAACAGTGCCACTCCCTTTGGGGTACATTTTCTTTTAAACCAGCAGCGATCCCCCCAGCCATACACCTAACTCTCCCATATAAAACACAGGGAGTATCCAACCACAACCATACACTTATTGGCTGAAGGTTCTTTGTTGTCTGCTGTTTGTCAGACATTAACTGTCTACCAGTCTCCAAATACTGTTTGCTTCAGTCTCTGCTTTATTCTAGTTGAGTGACAGTGAACTGGGGATCAAAGAGATTAAATTGTCTTTGTTCAGAAACATTGGCAGAGGTGGCCTTGTACAGTTTTTCCCCTTTGCACCTTTTGTGAATCAAACCTATACCATTTGTTTCATCTCAATATCTCAATGGAAAGAAGAAAGGAAGCACCGCAGAGACACAGGGAGGCACAAAGACCTGTTCTCTCAGTAAGGTGAGGTGAGGTAACCTAGTCACAAAGATGACATTCACTTATCCTGTTTGTGAAAAAGTCATATGACATCTTACAAGATACTTTATGGGCATCTTCCTCACGTTTTGATTCACAGAATCTTGAGGTCACTGCTTCAGCTAGGCTGGTGGCCCTTGAACTCAAGGGGTAACTCCATTTGCCTTGCAAAACTGTGGTTACCAGAGCCTCCGTGTCACCGAGCTTTTGATGTGAGTCTGGGGAACTGAACACAGATCCTCATGCGTATACATCAAGCACCTTATTGACTGACGATTCTCCTCAGCCTTAGGAACTCATTTTTAACAAGGAAAATATCTTAGGTCACTATGTGACCAGAAACCAAGTCCATAAAAGCTCCATGCTTTCTCTTCCATGGCTCTCACTCCTGAGTTAGTTGCTCTTTGCAGTGCCAGACATGCTATAAAAATCCCATGTGACAGTAACCCAAGGGTTTCTGACATCAGGCACGCCACAAACAGGACAGGATGGGAGTCTGCCCTCCCCAGGCAGACTCTGCTTTTGACTGTGACCTCATGGGACCTTGGGAGCTGTTGAAGCAACTTCTCCACATGGCACAACTACACATCACTCAAGCTGGGAAACACCTGCTTACCTAAAGGTCTAGATCTGAGTAAAATAAAAGATACCTTCATGCTCAGATATGCAAAAAAAAGACAGCGTGGTGAAGTAAAGCAAAGTCATATGCTTCTAGAGGCTTAGAAGAATAATGGTATTCTTACAGTAGCATGTCCAAAACCAATGTAGATGGAAAGGAACAGTCAGGGATGCTCACCAGGAGAAAGGTAAGGAGACCCTTGCAAAGGTCATTCAAGGAAATCATTTTTCATGGTGCAGACTGGGTTAAAAGTATTCCAGATGTACAGTGAAGAAAGGCAGGAAAGTATACAAGTTATAAAGAAAAATGTTTTGGAAAGTTGTGTTAAACAATCTTAAAAAACACTGTACAAAAGTGTATTGCTCTGTCATCTTGAAGATAGTAAGCATAGAAGTTAAGAGGTGGTTCTTTCTATGAAGGAGATTGAAGGCTTGTTGTAGGTCTGAGAACCACAGATAGACCATATCCATTGGAGACTCGCATGAAATCAAAAACAGATCAAAACGATAAGATGTTGGGGACTAGAGAGATTGCCCAGTGACCAAGAGCGCTTGCTGCTCTTCCAGGGAACCCAAGTTCAATTCTTAGCAACCACATGGTAGTTAACAACTATCCATAACACCAGTCATAGAGGATACAATGCCCACTTCTGACTGCTGTAGGAACCAGGCATGTGCATGGTACACATTCATATCTGCAAGCATAGAATAAATAGATAGATGGATACATAAATAAATAATTGTTACAGATAGGTAGATAGATAGGTAGATTATAGATAGATTGATTGATTGATAGATAGATAGATGATAGATATTAGATAAAGAAGAAAAATGGTATGAAACCACCTATGATAGGATATGAGCAAGATATATACATAAAAGTCCATGGATATTCAATCAAGTCCATGTAGCAGAGATAGCTGATGGTACCTGGATACTCTCTCTGTTTTCTACTAAAATTCAACACCCCCAGGGCAGAGTACTGGTGATATTCAAGCGTAAGGGGAGAGGGTGAGGATACAACTCCACAATGGCTTGGTGCTTCCATCCAGGATAACCATGTGAATGACATAGCTCCTCTCCATCCTTCCAACAATTGATTTGGTTCATTCAATCCCATGCTCCTTGGCTGATAATTTACTGAGACTGTATTCTTATTGATGCTGACCTGTGGGGAGAGAGGGAGGGAGAGAGAGAGAGAGAGAGAGAGAGAGAGAGAGAGAGAGAGAGAGAGAGAG